AAGAGAATTAATCCTTTTTCATTTTGAACCCACAGGTTGGTTCAGGGTTGATGTCACCAAATGATTCTGTAGACAGCAATATGGGTGCATATGGGTCTGGAAGTCCTTCATTATCACGCGTTGATGACTGGTCAATCCCATCCAGAATTGCACTTGCATCAATTGGTTCTCAGGGGACAGTGGGAGGTTTAGTGATAGCAGGATTCGTAAGTATTTAATGCCCTTTTTACTATGCATCTAATGTTTATGGATTGCATTCTTGTTCTTTTCTTTGTTTTTCATATTTTTTCTACTAATTCTAGTTCAATCATTTTGCTGGTTTTCTTTTGTAGATGCTGAAGACTGTTGGCTGGCGTGTGATTGTGGTAACTGGTGCTGTCTATGGATGTCTTTACATGTATGAACGTATGACCTGGACCAACAAAGCCAAAGAACGTTCATTCAAACGGCAGTACGTGGATCATGCTACCCGGAAACTGCGGCTCATTGTCGATTTGACATCTGCAAACTGCAGTCATCAAGTTCAACAGTGAGTAGTGTCATATTTCATTTCTGTTTTCTTATCTTACTGTTAATATATCTATTACACACCATTTACTCCCTTGCAGAGAACTATCGAGCACCTTTGCTCGTCTTTGTCACTTGGTGGATGAAAATGGCAGGGAAATGGATGTAGAGCTGAAAAAATTGGATGCTGAAATTTTGACATTGGAAGAAGCTGCTAGTTCAGCCAAAGTGCTGCGCAACAAAGCAAATTATGTTACAAAGGAATTAGAAATGTTTGATGACGTGTACCTTCAAACTGATAACTGAATTGTTGTTGTTTTTTGTTAAATAGTATTTTGAAACTGTTCTAATCTATAATTATGTAGTACAATAGTCTAGAGTTATATAAGATGATTTGAAAGCATTAACTTTTCTTAGCACATCACTCCATTATCATTGCCCACAACCTTGTAGTTTTCCTTTTCTTTTCCCCCTCCTTTTGATTTGTTATCCAGCTTTACAATTAAAAGTTTTAACTTCTTCTGGATGTTGATGTTGCTCGTTAGTCCCTATTCTTGTTTGGTTGATGTTACCAATTATGCTCTTTAATTTTTAGAACTGTTTTAGTGATAGAAGTTAGAGTTTTCTGTGATGCTTAAGGGTTAAATTCGACTTCAAGATTTGAGAATACTGAGCTGTTCTGTTAATAATTTTTTTCTTTTGTTTTTTTCCTTGTTTTGTTCTTTAAGAATACAACTTGGATTGAGTTTAGATTGTGATCAACACTCAGCTTTCATCAATTAGTCTTGTTGAGTCCCCTGTGTTTATAAGTCTAGCTAATGCCAACTGCATCCCAACTCAATCACGTTTGCCTAATTTAATTTTTTATTCCATCATTGACTGAGGAGATTTTGTGCTAAAGTGTGTCTTCTTTCTTGTGCTATGAGAGGGATTCAAATCATCCTGGAGTTTTCATTGCTTCAATTATAGTTGGGTTGAATTGAAAGTCACCATTGTTCATCATGTTCGCCCTTTATTTCGTAAAATGTATGTAATTATTATTAAACCTTTTCTGTGACAAATTGACTTTTCTTTGTTTTTCAAGTTGCTTGAAGTCCATATGAATATATTCTTTACTTTGTATTGGTATTGTGACCAAGATACTGTAACTTGCCATGTTTGATTCAGAGTCCTTGAACTTGCAACAGCCATAACTATGTCGATGTGAGAGGATGAAAGCACCTACCCGCAACACTCAAAATCAACTGACACCAAAGTATCAACAATAATCACATTAAAACATCAAAAATAAGTCAACAATTCAACTCTCAGCCCTATTCATTTTTTTTTTATTTCTTTTTTTTGCTTTTCAATAAACTTACAGTACTTAAGCTGCAAGCTTTATCAGCATCATGGGCTGTTGGTTCCCAACAGTTTCTTTAACACACTAACATAATGCTATAGTTAAGATCCACTTAAAAACATGTTCCATTTATAAAATATACTTACAAAGGAATCACCTCCAAAAGTACAATAAAAAGTAAAAATTATGGAAAAGATTCAAAACAACTTTGGAGAGAGGGAGGTTGAGAGAATCCATAGCTTAAAATATAACCAGAGAAGCTTCACATGCAACATTAATGGAGCACATTATATAACATGGAAAAGTCTCAACCCGGCACCTGAATGAACTAGACACAGTTGTAGCATGTGGTGGCTGAAATATACAGTGAGGATAAAGAAACTTAACACTCTTTGCTTTCTCTTCTTTTGTCGGTACTTGGTTAGAACAGAATCATGTGCGTAGATGTTCCCTGTGCCCAGACTGGAACTGAAAGTCCCAGAGATAAAAGTGGCTGGCTACTAGAAACATGATGAACTTAGTATTGTTATTAAGTTAATGTGAAGTGGAAACTTGATAAGATAAATTTCCTACACTAGGCTAAGCTCTTAGTTTAATTGATATTTGTTCATAAACGATGAAACATAATAACTTCTATTTATTTGGAACATAATGTTAAAACACAAAAACTTATTTCTTTAGAACACTTTGGAGGTACCTACATTCCTCAATCAAAATGCCTCTGCCCTTCCAAGTTGTCATCTCATTTTTAGGCAATGGGCAAAGATGCTGTTTTAAAAAGTTGAGTAGAGTTACATCGGAAGTAGTTTAAGGTCACTGAAGAAATACCAAACAGTGACAGTGACAGTCTTCATTCTAGGTTTGTCATAATGTTATGATATTTTCTTCAAACCTTAACTTACCTAGTTCTTGCTCAAACAATTATGAAACTGACGAGTTTTGCATTTTTGTGGTTATAAAATTTCCAGTTTGCGTAAGCAAACCATCAACTAATGAAAATACTTATGGCAACAGTTGCATCTTACATAAAAATTATAAACCATGAAGGAAAGAAAAAAATGAAAGCAAGAAATTGCAATAAATAGGATACAGTATCCAAGCACAACTATTCAAACACTGCAAAGCAGTCAGCAGGCTGCAGAGGATTTGAAAACAAAGCAAGTTACAATACCATATTAGGTGAATGAATGTTAAATGAGACAGGGTATGTGTGCAGAACTTGCTCAGCATGAGGGGTCTATTGTAGTTACAAAATGACACAGCCAACGCACATGCATGAAATCGAAATTGATAGCAAAGAAACTTTTATACCCCGATATGTGGTTCATCTTAAGCATGAGAGGGTAACACGCAATGAAATTGGTTTAATTATACTTAGAATAAAATAAAAAACCAATGTATCACAGCAGAGGCCAGCAAGTAAACCTTACTTGTCACTTAATCATACACAATTTTATAAATCTTTAAGTTATTTAGTAATCAATTGCCCATTCATTTTCCTGCAGGAAAGAATCAACAACTTCCTTCATTACAAAATTTGGAATTAGTTGATCCTGTGTAAGCTTTACTCTTGTGACAGGATCAAAATGTCCAACTCTCTGCAAAAAAAAAAAAAAAATTACAGAGAAAATCTTCTTTGGCAACAGCATTTGAAAAAGAAATCCCAAAATCAGGGTTTACCTGCAGATGCTCTTCAATATCTTTCCTTTCATAGGTTATTCCACTAGGTGTTATCACTGGTTCACTAAGTATTTCGAAACTGATTTTTCCACACAAATGGTCTGGCACCTCACGTTTCTGAACGAGAATACAGATACATTAAAACAGATTTTGAAAAAAAAAATTTAAAAAAATTGATTGTAAAGCATTACTGACCCGGCGCCGTTCATCCACCTTTGAAAACAAGGAATGTAACTCACTGGTGTTGTTTTCCTGTGAATAAATTGTCACATTATCATAATTACGATATTCTTGGAATTCTGCATGACTTAGTCATAACTAGAAGTACAAGTCAAACTTACACACTGTCGTTCTAGATCTTCAATTTTACTTTGCACTTCAGCTTCCAACAGACCAGGAGTATTGCGAACTTTCTCCACTTCTCTTTCAGTGTCTTCTGCCATTAGCCGATTTAGATAAGCCTGCAATGAAGTAAACAATTCAGAGCGATGCTTTTGAAAGGGGCAAAGGAATGAGTACCACAGTACAAAAGTTTAAGACATCTTTACCAATAATTCAATTTCTTGTGCAATTCTTTTTTCTTCTTTCAGGTTCCAGCGTTTTTTCCGGGCTGAACGCAATTGGCTTGCTATTTCATCTCCAAAATTAAGTTTTTGTTCTTTAGCTAAGTCATTCGCTAAAAATAAAATTAAACAATTTATTACTGAAATATGACCGATGACTGACAAATGCAATCACCAACAAGCTACAAAGGAATGCTTAGTATTACCTCTCTGTAAATGTTTGATAGCTTCATCATAATTTTCCATTTCTGAAAGAGCTTGTCCGAGGAAAAAATGCCCTTTGACAAGGGCCGAGTCCACATCTAGGGCTCTGCGGCTATCCTGACAAGCAGCTTCCCAGCGTTTTAATTTGAGATGACACAGCGCACGGTTTGTGAAGTATGTTGCCATGGTGGGGTTCTTGATCTAGAAATAAATAACAGTGCAATGAATAAAAGTGACTCTGAAAATACTGCTAGTTGCAAGCAAAGCAAGACTGAAATGTGGTTGTTTACAATGACCATTTTTATGTCACCAGTATAACTGAGCAAACTGGAGGGGAGTGACACGGACTGCGTCCGCAGATGAAAGAAAATTGTGATCACAAATGTCTTAATACTAAAAAGAGTTGAATAAATTAAGAATAAATTAGAAAAATAATGCTCACAATGGCTTTGGTGTAGCAGCTGACGGCATCGTCATATTTCCTCTGTTCGAACAATCTATTGCCTTGCTCCTTCAGTTCTATGTCGGTGAGGTTCGCGGTAGAATAGGTGTATTTGCTCATTGTGACAAAATGACAAAATGTAACGCTTGCAATGAAAAACAAATAGTCACAGTCGCAGGCCACTTGGGCCACAACAAAACCAGGAGAACTAGAAATGCCTTCGGCTCGGGAACGGACGCTGGGTCTGGCGTTCTGACCATGGTCGGTAGTAGTTTGAAGAAACGAAAATACTCAGAATTAAAGGATATGTAAACAAAAATATATATTGAGGCGGACTCAGTAAGACATTTTTGAGTAAACCGAACACCTTTTATCCTGGATTAGACGGTTTTAAACGTGGAAATGACAAAAAAGGAAGCAGCGGCGGGGGTCGACGGCAGTGTCTGGCGAAGATCCGCGGCGGGCCCCAACTGCAGGGCCACATAGTATACCATTTTTTATCTTTGTTCAGCTCTAAAGGGTAAAAAATTGGGGCTTTTATTAAAGCTAGAGGCATATACTATCAAATGGAAAGGTTATTGGTAAACATCAGGGCAGGAAATATTTGCATTCTCCTTACTAAGTTGGACGTCCTCAGGCCGTTAGCAGGCGGTGACGTCGACTAACCGACCATGGTCAGAAAGGGTATCTGACGACTTTGCAAGGAGAATGCAAATATTTCCTGCCCTGATGTTTTCCGATAACCTATCCATTTGATAGTATATGCCTCTAGCTTTAATAAAAGCCCCCAGTTTTTACCCTTTAGGGCTGGACAAAGACTAAATTTGGTAAAGAGTTCGGCCCTGCAGATAGTGCCCGCCACGGGCCTCCACTCCCCACTCGCCTGACAAAACGCAATTTTTGGCTGAGGGCAGGCTCACAACAGCTTCTGCGAGTCACTAGCGGTGATGGGACCAACAACGTTCCCTTCCATCTGGGGATCATTCTCGCGGGAAGCTTGAATTTTGACTTCTTTTCTGATGTTTATCGGGCATTTGGATCGATTTATGCACTTGCCTTGTATTTCTTAGCATGAACGCCTACCTAGGATGCGTATTCATTGAAATTACTATAACGTTTCGCATGAAAAAATAAAAGCGATGTGGTTGGAGGTTATGGGCGCCTTGGTAGCGGACGCTGCTACTGCGGGCCCCACTTTCATTAAGGGGAAATTGTTTTGAAGCAATTTGGACGCTCCTAGGCAGCTTGCACGCGTGCTTGCGAACGTTAGTATTCCCTCTGAGCAACAAAACGCCATTTAAAGTCACGAAATAATCATCCCGATGCTTAATTACGAGAACACTACTTGAATGTTCCCGCTCGTTTTGATCCCCAGATGATCGTCGCTTGTCGAGATGTGAGCCTGCCCTATTGGTGGCCTTTCTAGAGAGCGCAGCACAACAACAACAACATTCATATGGCGGTTGTATCGGTTTGTGTCGTGTAGTGTGGACGTCTGAACGTATAGTTTTGTTGTAAAGACATTTCTTGTCTTGCCCTTCTTTCTTTGAAACTGGTGGGTGCTATACGCCTTGCAGCATGAATGAAGATGAGGACGAAGTCATTCAAGAGGTGAGGCGAAATTCGTTACATTTATAACCTCTGCATGTGCTCTTCAACGTGGTTATCGTTGTCTTCTTCTCGTTTCTTGGACGTATTGTTTTGGAGAAACGACAGACTTAATTTCAGTTCTCAAAGAATAACATCATGCTTTCGTTTTATGACTCGTGTTTCTGTTGGTGCCGGTTGGTTTAACCGGGAGTTTAACCACAGTCACTGTGGTTAAACTCCAGTGCTAAGAATTCTCACCACTGAAGGTTTAGTGGTGTTTCTGACTTAGGGTTCAAGTTTTAATTTTCGACCTGTGCTGAAATTTCCTGTTAGGTGGTTAGTTGGTTCGAGAAAGAACAGGCTGACTGTCTCCACAACTGTCTGTCAATTTTAAGAACTTTACTGATGCGTCAAATGGAACTCTCAGATTAATATTTGTCTTTTTCAGATTCCAGTCTATGTTTCCCAAACTTTGGCCAAACAGCTCTTCATCTATCAATATCCCACACGACCTGCAAGTTCATCAGGCGCTGAAAACATCATTGTCAAGAGTTCTATCAAACCCCAACTCCAGGAAGTGGAGTTGGAGATGAGCATTGACACTCGCTCAAGCAACTATGATACGGGTAGAGGAGAGCAAATTGCCATTAATGCAGATGGTGTCGGGAGTGCTCTCAAAACTGGTGAAGAATCGGTCTTCCCAAGGTTAGTATTTGCTCTCACAACAATCACATTATCTCAGATGTGGTGTGCGTGTTCACTACCTCTTTCCGCCTTGCCTGCACCTTTGTTTAGCTTGAAGCAGTCCTAAATTCTGTCCTTACGAATTTCAGTGGGAAAATGGATCGCATGACATTGAAGTCAAGCCGCCTATTAAGTGATACTAGCAATTATGCAATAGGAGTGTTGAATGAAGGTGAACTACATTTAACACCTTTGAAGGGTATAGTCAGCCTCCGGCCTACATTTAGCTACCTTGATAAATCAGATAAAAGGCAAGCTAACAAGAATCAAGAGGAATTGTCTGGGGGTGAAGAGGAAGAAGAATTAAAGCAGGTAACATTAAGCTATGAATTGTTATCCTCTTACATTCATTCCATCTTTCATTTATTTTGCATAAATTTCAGCCACCGAAGTGCCTTTATTGATTGGTGTTATTATTATTCTTTCCTAGGTTAATGTTAAATTTGCTCGTCAAGAAAGTGAAAGGGTCAAGAAAGCTCGAGAGCAATCTTATGATTATCATAATAAACTTAGCTCAAGTGAACCATGGTATCATACAGAGTATGTAATACCTCAAACTGATGTGGCAGAATTGGAGCGTGCCAAATTGTATTGCTCTAATATATCCGAACAAGTTGCTGATCTTAGTCTTAATTCAACGGATTATCTAAACTACTTAATTGATTCTGATGCAGTTGATGAATCAACAAGTGGAGCTTCTAAACGATGTTTAAAATCAATGAATTTAGCCGACCAAGTCAGGTCAATTATGAAGGAAGCTCGCCTCCTTTCTTTTCGGCACTTAATGTCCTTAATTCCCAATGTTGTTGATGTTCAAACTGTACTGAAAGCAGTGCAGACTGTTGCCACTCTTGTTCGAGGAAATTGGATTGTGCGCAGTGATATTCTGTACCCTAAAGAAACCTTTAGTGCCTTAAATGGAGTTCCTGCTGAAATTATGGCTCGTAGCCGGGATTATGTGGTAAGTTTAAGAACTTGTGTTAAGTTTGAGGCAGGGGTGTGGTTTTGATGCCAGCTTGATGAACTTTGTCCTTCTTTTTTAGCTTCTTCAATTCACTCAGCACAAATATTTGGACAGAATCGCTCTAAACAGAACTGTAAAATTACCTACTGCTGAACTACTAGAAATTTTACAGGGTGTGGCCTCACTTAAAAAGAACAAAGGTTGGGAATTGCAGCTGTCTGTTGACAGGGAGTTTATTGAAAGGTATGAACTTTTGATGTAAAATTGTGAACTTATAATTTTTGTATGAACACTACTAGTGTTATTTTTTACAGGCATTCAGAAATAGTTCATCGTCAGGAGTCTTTCTGGGAAGCCCGTCAACGCTCCCTTAATGAAGCTTTTAGACATAAACAACAGACACCACCTACATCTCCTACTAAACCTAGAGGTCCTAGATCTGGAACTCGACGGCGAGATTCATCTTTCAGTTCTGATGGTGAAAGTCGCAACCCCCCATCTCGTCAAAGAAAAAAGTCTCACTCCCAGTCAACAGCTGAAATGGAACCTACGACCAATGGAACAAGTGATACCCATATGAGTTCTCGAAGGAAATCAACCAGCATATCTGCAGATTCAGATAGTGGTGCTGAAACAAGACAATTAAATAATAACTCTAACCATGTTACTTTAACAAACAAAAGGATAAAGAAGAGTCCAAGTGAGGAAAATATAGAATCTTGACAAAGGTATGATCTAGTTGTGGCAAGACCCATTGTGATTTGCTTCTAGGTGTTGTTCAATTGTGTCCAACATTATTGTGTTTAACATTTATGATTTGTTACTTATTTAAAGAGAGGAGAACTTTGTATATTTCATTGAAGTTATGTTAATGTGCTATGCACATTAATTTACAATACAAATTGACAATTGGTTTTGCGGTAAGATTTATTTTTAGTACCCCTTAAGAGACTGCAAGTGATTATTTTCAAGTCTATTTTATCAAGTCCACGGTAAAAAATTGCTGAATAGTATTGAGCCTATAATAGCATAGAGGTAACAGTATAGTAAAATAGTTTTGCCTGTACGATCAATGGGATATAAGGATAAAATTATTACTCTCCATTTACTGTTCATATTATCCAATATCTCAATTTCTTGTTCAGATTTCTTATTACTGAACTTCTTCAGGCGACTCGATATAAGTTTAGCAGCAGCACTAGCTTTGCCATTGGAACTTTTTTTCCTGTTATAGATTAAAAGGTAAGAGGCAAACCAGTATGGAACAGGGCTAGCTGAACAAATCAATCTTGTTGCTACTTGGATGTGAACGAAAGCTATGCAAAAAGCTGCCAAGCAAAGAGCATGGATAACAAAAACAAACATTTTTGGTGACATACTGTTCGGTTTCATTTGAGTATCTTTAACTTTTGCTGGTATGAATCCTAAATGCAAAACCAAGAATCTATTTTGGTTTAGGAATATTATTGACCTACAGATTATAAATGAGAGAATAGGAGTGGCCAGTATGAAATTTGGCACTTGCTTCCATTCAAAGTAACGTAGGAATCCAACATTCCAATAGTGATCTTGGACATAGGAATATGCTAAAGGCATTTTGGAATTACACCAATGAAGTGGGTCCCTCTGAACATCTTGGTCAAGTGCAGGCAATACCAAACTATTATTTTTTGCATATTCTACCAAATGTTGTGGAATGTTTAGTTTTTGTACAGTGCAGAATAGTACATAGCAATACACTTGATAGGCAACAAATGGTGCTAGTGCTATTGTACAGGACTCAATAATACGATACATCAATGGCACAGTTTTGAAAGGTACAAGTAACCTATTTTTTAGCCCTTTCTTCCTAGAGATAACAGGCCACTCAGCAGATAAAAAGTCCTGAATGCTTTTGTGAAGTATGAACCCAACATTCAAGACACCATTTGACCGGGCAGCTGCAGATAGACCAAATGGAATTGCACAAAGTTTTGAGTATTGGATATCAAGGGAATGTCTCATACCTTGGAATGACAAAAGCACAAATAAGGCTTCAGAGTAAGGGGCAGAAAAAAAAATACTAGCAGGATTAATACAGAAGAGAAGTGCAGCCTTATAAGCTAAAAATTCATCGCCTAGTACCTTAATACTCAAGAAAAACAGAGAATCTGCTGCTTTTATAAAACACACTGTGTTCATAATGACTGAGGCCAGAAGCAGGAGGCTCTGTGATCCAAGAAAACCAAAAGTAACAATTTTAAGACAAGCTGACAGAAAACGGACAGCCAGTGGAAACAATGGAAAGAATGCAACTGAGTTCTCATAAACATATCCATTCTGAGCAATGTGCAGAAAGTAATGTGCATCCCATCTCTCAAGTCCCCCAAACAGAATGTCTATTACTCTATCTAGCCAATTATCTTCAGAGTTAGGTAACAATGGTCGCCGGAACACATCTTGAGCGTCATGATCGGGTAAAATAAAATTCGCGATGCATTGCAGAAGGAGAATGAAGACCCGCGAGAAAAAGGCGAACCAGATGACTTTCTGACGAAGAGAATACATGGTCCAAGAATTCGCCGGCCAGTGAATCCTGCCAAGAAAAGGAATATGCAAGCCGATCAGAGTTATGACGTTAAAGGATATTTTGCAAAATCCAAGATTTTGACGCCGTTCCAAGACTCACAGGATTAATAATGAGGGAAAAATTGATTAAGTTTAACCTAGCGTCAACGAATTTGTTTGTTTACACCCACAGACCAGACGACGCTGGTCGCCGGTCTAGCCAACCCTGCGAAAATATAATCAGTCAACTATCTGTAAGGAAATTTTACGGTTAAAAGAGATAGAAATTCTGGAAAAAGTGTATTCTCCGTGCTTTTATTTTCGGTGATTTATGCACTGAAAAGTTTTTACGATTTTCTTATTTGATAATAAGGAGTTGGCAATTTTGAATGTTGGGCCTATGAAAAATTGCGTATCTTTCCTAATTTCTCATAGTACTTGTGCTGCTACTTCCGGTCTGCCGCTTCTGCTTCGTATTTTGGTCGATTTTTGTTGTGTTTATAAACGTAGGTCCAAATTTTGAAAGGGATGACGGAAAGCGACTGAAACAGATAATCTATGGTTGATGAGATCTTTAAAGTAAATCTTTTCACATTTCTTACTTTAAAGTTTTAACCTAACCTTAACCACCTGTTGCTTAAGCCGCACATGCACATCACTTTGGCTTTTGTGTGCTGACGGTTCGTCAGGAGTTTAGGTGTTTGTAATTGATGAAGTAAAGGTTGTAATTTCTGCGTCTCTGGACCTTGTATTGAGGAATTTCTCTTCCGCTACCACTCTTTATCATTTTGACATATTAGTTCATGATCTCCATGTGTAAATGTGAAATTGACATTCACGACTCACGTGGAGCAGCCGCCGTTGTTCCCTCACAATTTTTTCCTAACCTTGTGTATTATTGTTATTAACAATGTTTTCATGGAAAACCTTTTATCTTTAATTCTATGTTTTTCAGAGAACAATGGGCCAGTACAAGGAGAGGCTGAATGCGTTGGTGGTGAAACTACATGAGATTAATGTCCTTAAGTTTGGTGATTACAAAATGAAAATAGGAGTTAATTCGCCTGTCTATTTCGACTTACGTATTATTGTGTCTTATCCTAAAGTGTTGGTGGGTATCTCATCTTCATGATTCTTTGTTGATTGGTTCCTTTTCAGTAGCTGCATTTGTATTTTTCTTTTACAGGCAGAACTTTCAGACCTGATCTGTGAGTTTGCAAAGACCTCATTGGAAAACTGTGACCATGTATGTGGGGTGCCATATGCAGCATTGTCCATTGCCACTCTTGTTGCTGTGGGCTCAGACAAATCCATGTTAGTTCGGCGCAAGGAGGCTAAAGACTATGGAACTAAACGAATGGTTGAAGGCTGTTACAAACCTGGAGATTCGTGCATCATCGTAGAGGATGTTGTAACAAGTGGGCTCAGCATCCTGGAGACTGTTGGGGTAAGAATCACATATCTCAACAATTTTCCAAGGCTCTTCAAAACAATAATTATACTCTTATCCTTATTTTTTGGTAATTAGGATTTGCAACGAGAAGGTTTGAATGTAACTGAGTCCATTGTAGTTGTTGATCGCGAGCAAGGTGGATCAGAGCATTTGGCCTCCCAGGGCTTAAAGATGCGCAGTCTTGTTTCTCTTACTGAGGTATGATTTATTTTCAAAGATATATTTCATTGTTTCCTGGACCCTGTCAATATTAATCATTTCAATTTTCAGATTATGCATATATTGCATGATGCTGGGAAGGTTGATGAGGCGACTGTCATTAAAGTTAAGAAGTATTTAAGTGAAAGCAGGGTCTCCATACCTGCAGACAGAGTGCCGGCTCCTCTAGGTAGAATTCCCTTTGTGAAAAATGAAATAACATTGTGTTAGACATAGTTGTTTCTCCAATGATCTAATTTTACTTTTGTTTCTTCAGCTGCTAAAAAGACAACTGATGAAAGACTGAGAATGACATTTGAAGCTAGAGCTGAAAAGGCTACAAACACCATGTCTGCTCGGCTGTTACGGTTGATGGCATCAAAACAAAGTACACTATGTGTTGCTGCTGATTTAAGCAGTACTGATCAGGTGCTGCAATTAGCTAACACTGTTGGTCCCTACATTTGTATCTTCAAAACTCATGTTGATGCACTCAATGACTTTTCTCACAAATTTGTTAAAGAGCTACAGGAGCTTGCAAAAACTCATAACTTTTTAATAATGGAAGATAGGTAAGCGCTTGGTCAATGTTTTTTTATTATTTTCTAATGTTTTTGAAATTGGAAATTTTCTTTTATGCCTAATAACATTTTTTGTGTTTGCAGGAAATTTGGAGATATTGGACATACAGTTGGCCTGCAGTATGTAGCTGGTAATTTCCACATTGCTGATTGGGCAGACCTGGTGACAGTTCATGCACTTCCCGGGCCTGGCATTATGGATGGTCTTGTTAGCTGTCTGGAGACTCACCAGTCAGGCCTGAGAGACCGCGCCTGCTTCATCGTCGCTGAGATGAGTAGCAAGGACACATTAACCACTCCAGCATACCGAACTGGTAACTTCTTTTAACTACCTATAAGTAGTTCAACCTCTTAAGTCTCTGCTTGATGACATTACTCATTTTCATTTTTATTGCAGAGGCCTTGAAACTGGCTGAGACTCGCGCAGATTTTGTGGCGGGAGTGGTTAGTCAATCAGCCACTGGAATTTCTTCCATTGGACTGATCCAACTGACCCCGGGTGTACGTATCCCTGTTGCTCAAAATGGGGCTCAGACAAATGGTTCTTCTGGCTCTGATGGATTGGGCCAGCAGTACAATTCACCTCACCACGTAGTACTGGAAAGGGGTGCCGATGTTGCTGTCGTCGGGCGAGGCATCACAGAGGCCGCTAACAGTGCAGAGGCCGCCGAGCTCTACCGTGACGTGCTTTGGAAAGCATACCAGCAGCGTGTTGGTGAAGCTTAGATTAGGAAAAGAAAGAGCCCGATCAAAGGAGCTTCCCTCACACAGTATTTCTTGTGCATAGTTAAATTTGTCTTTTAATCAATTACGTACATTCCTTGAGGTGATAATAGTGATGAAGTTGTGATCCTGTGCCTGAGCATCCTGTTCCTTTTGTTGATAACTTTTGATGAAATGTACCTACATATGTTAAGATTTTAATTATGTTTTATGAACCTCCTTAAATTAAAGAGGTGCTTCTACAAAAGGATTTTTTTCCATGTGGCCTTTGCACTACTGAATATTAAATGGTTGAAACATATAATGAGTAGTATGATTCACCCCGATCCGACGGACACTGAAACCGAACTGTACAGATGCAATTCAACCCCAAGTTGAAACCCCTAACTTGAACCAGAAGAGCTAGTGTAACTTTCATCTTTTATTTGATTCATTTTGAATAAGAGTTTCCATGTGCCCACTAAATTTGATAGCTGTCGTAACTGTGAAATCTTTGCACTCATGTTGCAATCAAAACCTTCACATAACACTCCAAAAATACAACTATAATTTCTTATTTTTATTACTTAAATTACAACTAAATGAGAAAAGGCCTTCTCAGAGGCGACGATGTAACACAATAGCACTATTTTGAGTCATTCAATTATAAGTAGTCTGGTCGCTTAGTCACTCCTGTTCTTCTCGAAGCCCGGCGGCCTGATGGGGGACATGGGCAGGTAGATGGGCTCGGTGTCGCTGGCCATGGCCAGGGTGGGGCCGGGCGCGCACTTGGCCGCGCAGAGGAACTCGAACGGCGGGTTGGCCTTGGCCGCCGCGTTCTTCACCATGGACCTGACGAGCCCCATCTGCACGTAGCCGTCGGCGTCCACGCCGCCGTCCGGCGCCCTGGCCCTCGTCAGCAGCTCGCTGATAGGGGTGAGGTTCTGCCGCGGCGGCAGTGGCGGGGGCGCGGCGTGTCCGTCGAGCCCGCCGTCATCGGGGAGGCCCTCCCCCTCCGCGTCCGCAGCGCCCCGCTCGGGTCGCGGGGTGCGCAGCAAGGTGGGGTCCTCGTAGTGGTTCTCGAGGCCGTTGGACGCCCGCCGGAACAGCGCGGTCGCTGCCGCGTTCTCGTACACGGCCTCGGCGGCGAGCGCGGTCCCGCACTCTGAGATCTCCTCGTAGATGCCGGAGGCCACCGAGGCCACGGACACGGCCGACTCTCTCCGCCGGTCCAGCGCCGCCCTGGAGGACTCCCTGGAGCTCTCGGCCCCCGCGATGCCCGCCATGCCCGCGACGCTCGGAAGGTCCGCCGCGGGCAGCACGCCCGCGCCGTCGTCCGCGTCATCGTCCACGTCGTTGTCCTCAGCCTCGCTGCCTCCCGGGGTGGACAGGATGAGGCCCAGTCCCGCGGAGATGAGTCCCGAGGCGATCTGGCGAAAAAGGGCGAAAAGTACGTCAAGCGCTGGTCAAGCTGAGCACGACGTCGACGCACCGCGCCTTCCTCGCGAAGGCTTCGCGAAGCTCACCTTGCCGCCGAGCAGCGACAGCGCGGACCCCGAGTGGGACTGCGACGGCGACGTGGACAGCCTGTCCTTGTCCGGGCAGGTCTGCGCGTTCAGGGTCTCGGCCCTCCGGCGGCCGTACAGCAGTCTGAAGGGCTGCCTGCCCTGCATGCCGCTCGCCGCGCTGCCCGCTTGGCTGGTCGACGGCCGCGGCCGAGGCAGTGTGCTGGTCTTGGCCGGGGCCGGGGCCGCGGACGCCCCCCTGGCGCGTAGCTCTGCCGGAGACGGCACTCGCAGGCCGGTGCACAGACTGGGGCTGTCCAGGTCCTCGGAGCTGGGGGGAAGTCCTGGAAGTCCCGGATGCCCCTGCAGTCCGAGCCCCAGGGCCAGTGCCCCCAGCGGCGCCGCCAGCAGGTCACCCTCGCTGCGGCTCAGGCGGCGGCCGCGCAACAGGGCGGCGCTCGCGGCGCTCAGCCCGCGGGGCGACGTCGGCATGGTCGGCATGGGCTGGCGGCCCGCGATGGCGACGCGCAGCACGGCCATCCAGCGCTCCGTGTCCGCGTCCGAGCGAGTGGCCAGGAACACCTCGGCCTGCTCGGCCTGCTCGGCGGGCGCGGCGATGACGAAGGCGTGGCACCGCGACCGCGACGCCGTGCGGCACACCGAGGCGCGCGATCCGGGGCCCGCCGGCACTCGGATCACGGCCGTCTCGAGGCCGAGGCGCGCCGGGCTCAGCACCAGCTCCACGGCCTCGGCGGGGACGTCCTGGAGCGCGTCCGGCATGAGCCGCGCCTGCACCCAGTGGCGCCGCCACGACTGCAACAGAGGAAGTGTTAGACGCTGCGCACGCTGCACACGCCAACCCTGGGCGCCGTCGTCTCGTCGCGCTCGCTCACCTTCCACGGCCCGAACCTCCTCCGCCTGCTGCGGCCGGGCAGCTTGACGTCCAGGTAGCCGGCGATGAGTGCATGGTCCAGGCCCTCCTCCAGGGCGTCCTTCTCCTTGGTCATGGCGACCCTCCTGGCATTCCCTCCTGCAACACAACAACAAGCGCGTCAGTTGGCAGACACATTGACACCAGCATCTGGTTCGAGTCCGCCTGCAGGAGTCCGTCGTGTCGCGGGTTTACTTGTTTACTTTTTCCAGCCGCGTACGAGCCACGTACTTCGCACTGCGCACACCACAAGACCACGAGTAAGACATCGACATCGGAGGGGCCATCAAATTATCCCGCCATTTCTCGGCAAGTCATGCCGGCGGCGCGGCTCCGCCGTGGCTCCGCGGAGCGCTGCGCTCCCAAGATGGCCAGAGGGTGGCTTTGGCTTTCTGGCTGCCCCGCCGTCGCGATGTGGCGAGTGGCGCGATTCGATTCGAGTCGGTGTCCTCGTCCTCCAGGACCTCGTCTGGTTCCCCGCCCGCCACCCCAGCCGCCCCGAAGGAGCGCCCGACGCTGCACACAGAGTGGCACGAGGAGTGGCAGGACCATTCCGTCGCCGCAGCGCGCCGTCTTTCCCCGTTCCTTCCTTTTTAGCTTGTTTCCTTTTCTCGGCAGCGCCGCAGCCGCAGGGCACACGGCAAAGGCGTGGCCTGCCTCATGCCTGCCCGCCGCCGGCAAGTCCAATGCGCGTTTCTTAGAACGGCCGCGCCGATCAGGCCCGATCCGACGACCCGACTCGACCCCGGCCTTGGTCCTTTTGGAGGCCGTCCCGTCCTGTCCTGCCCCCCCCCCCTCCTCCTCGCCGCTAAAACAGGTGCACCAAGCACACACACACATCTATCGCTCATTGATTGGAAAGGTGATTGGCCATATCGCCTGGACGAAGAAATAAATGAGGGCACTGATCGGCTGGCCTGCGCCATGCGTGCGCCATGAGGCTTGTAGGGCTCGTCCATAAGCCACGAGATTCCCCCCCCCTCCCCTTTCCGCCGCCCGGTGCGTAGGCAATGCAGCAGCTCCGTCGACACGGCTGCATGCGGGTTGCCTATGTGCCGGGCGATTGCGATTGCGATCGCTCATGCCCTGCCTGCTCCGTGCTCCTCACGTGCGTAGCAGCACTGTGGGATCGATCGCTGTACACGCTTACACACACGCGTACCTTGCTGCACTTGGCCATGCACTCGAGCGACTCGGACACACTGCAAAACGGCCGCGCGACGCGGGGAAGGGCAAGCAGCGCAGGGCTGCTGCTGCTGCTGTCCCGAGACCCCGAAAGTCGCTGCGTGACGCGTCACGTACACAAATGCCACGTAACGTAAGCAAGCATCGCCGTGTTTGGACGCGCCCTGCGACTCTGGCACTAGGTACTGGTACTACACTGGTATTTGCCGCGGGCTGTACCGCTGTACAGTGGCGGTGCGACCGCCATGGGCCGCCATGGGCCGCCAGGTGGTCCCTGAAGCCTGTTGCCAGCCGGCTCCTTGCCCACCGAGCTCGAGCGTTGATGAATGCACCAAAGGCGAACGCCACGCCACTGTACGCCACGCCACGGCGGCCTGGCCGGGCCTCGCTACCGGTTTGGTGAGCGACTATGTAGCGCGGGACAGTCGGCCGCCGGCATTCTGTCATCGCCGTGTTGCCGCGGAGCAGGCAGCAGACTGATTCCGAGCACTGCTTTCGTCGCTCTGTCTCTCTCGCACCTCTACGGACTGCCCCATGAGTGCGACAGAGACAGAGCGACGAAAGCAGTGCTCGGAATCAGACGGCAGGCAGGGCGGGCCGGCGGGGCAGCACCGCGAAACGGCATTTGTCTTCCCCGCAAATGTGCGAGTATCACAATGTAGCGCGCGGCAGCCAGCGGCAGCACCAGGGTTGGCACTCACACACAGACCGACCAGCGGAGAGAGACTTGACTTCGACTCACAGAGCTTGGACCACCACGGATAATCACTTTGCGTTACGCCTCCGCCGTGGTATTGAACCGCAGGTTGGCCCGGAGCGCGCTATTTTGGCCGGAGGGGCCCGCCGACGCGACGCCGCGCTGGCGTGCTGTGGCATTGTGTCCGGAAAGGCAGGGCTGGCGAGGCCTTGTCGGCAAGGGGCTGCACTGGGCGGGAGGCCGCACGACCGCCCATTCTGCGGCCCAAATTAACTCCATCGGCTCGCCGGGCCCTTCCGGGCCTGGCGGACCCTTCCGCCGCCGACGGGGCCCTCGGCGCCCTGCGTCCTGCACGTGTCTACGACGCGTGCGGAAAAGCGGAGAGACACGCGGAGGAACACGCGGACAGAGGCGGATCCAGAGTCGGTCGGGGGGGGGGCACCGTATCACTTTTTGCCATTTTACAAGGGTAGAGTGTAGCTTTTTGCCTACCTTCTTGGCGGCTATCTAGGGGTCAATTGTCCTTCCCCCTCCCCCTTTGGCCCTGGATCCGCGCCTGCACGCGGAGGGACGCGCGGAGGGACGCGCGGATGTCTCGGCCGCAGACTAATCGGCCAGCGGGTCGACGCGACGGTGACGGCGACGCGGCGGCGGTCACGAAAACGAAACGAGCCATCATGTTCACACGTTTTGTTATTTTCCGTGGTGCGGTGCGCGGTGCCGCCCGCCGCCGCCGCCCGAGGACGCCAACCAGGGGAACCACGGCCAGGCCCTGGCCAGGCCGGCCGGCCCGGCCTTATTTGCGGTGAGACGGCAAGGCGCAAGGTCTCCAAGGCCTTCTCGACGACGTCGTCGGCACCGCCGCGCCGGGGTTATCTGGCCGCTCTGCCCTTTCACTGCTTTCTCACTCAAAACGCTCAAAAGCAGACGGTTTTTCAAAATGTCACAAGGCATCGCCCTGCTGGAGCGCACCAACGGGTTGTGTGGGTTGTGTCGTCGGCATGAGCGTCGCGACGCACGGCACAGCAGGGTGTATCGCCAGCACTCAGCACCGCGGCGCGTGCCCCCTCCCCTTCATCTCGCACACACAGACGCACGCGCCAGCACACTGGCACTTTCTTAGAAGCCGCGAGCCGGAATAGCAGGAGGGGGCCTTGGACGCGGACTGGCTAGACAGGTTACCGGCCCTTCTGCGCGCGCCCTTCCCTAACCTACACCAAGTCGCGCAAGGCCGTCGCCGCCGACGGCAGCAGCGGCCAAACCCGTCGTCGGCGCGCTGCTGGTTTGCTTCTGCTTGACTTTTTAATTTTGACGCTTTTGGAAATAGGTTCGGGTTGCGCCGGACGCAACAGACATACATACGCGACATGTTCTCACTTAAGTACTTCCGAAACGGGGAACACCATGAAAAACATGCGTCCGTTTTTAGGCGCTGACGCGTCACACGGACGTGCGTCCACCACAGAAATAAGGATGTGGGTGCGGTTTTCAAACGCCGCGGCGAGAGCACCGAGTGTGTCGTGTAAATAAGAAGGGAAAACAAGTTTTTTCGAGACTTTTTTTTTTTGTGCGCGCGGGTGGAAGTTGGCGATGGTCGATGGTGCGAGAAGCGCGGCGCCACACTCGCGGTGCAGCCGAGCCATTCAGAGGATCGCTTTGTCGCTCTGTCTCTCTCGCACACCTGCGGAGATTCTCATGAGTTCGAGAGAGACAGAGCGACGAAACGACTCTTTCTGAATCGCTCGGCAGGCTGCAGACCGCAGTGCTCAGGCTGATGTGCCCCTGTCTCTCTCGCTGCCTTCCGCGACGCCCCTCGAGTGCGAGAGAGACAGAACGACTAGGCAGCTGTTCAAAATGAGCGAGACTGCAGACCGCGGTGCACCGCAGACCCAGTTAGTCCGACGGCCTGACGGCCTGACACATGCGCCGCGGGGTGCAGCCGCCCTTGTCAGCGTGAGGCCGCGGGCCGCGGCTTGAGTCCGACCAGTCTCCCTCGCACTCATGGGCCGTCACGTCAGTCACATGGGGGTGCGAGAGGGACAGAGTGACGAAGCACGCGAAGCAGTGCGGTCCACGTGTACGACGTGTACCCTGTCAGGCACTGCAGTAGGCACTTCAGTGCATGCACTGCCGCCGCTCCGTTCCCAGGCTCGGACTGGCCCCCAAAAGGCCCCGGCAGATAAGACCGCAAAAGGCCCCCGATCATCATTGTTTTTACCCTTCATGACCAACTTTGTGAGGCTACCGCTCCCAAACTAGTTGCGGTCAATAGCCTTCCCGTACAGGACATGAAAGGACTAGGCTCTTAAGAATTCTAGGGCGTCGAGGGAGGCCTTTTACGGCAACTAGATTGGACACAGTGGCCACCCAAAGTCAGCAAAATCAGCAAATTTCATATATTCGACTACTTTTTGGCCAACTTGGTCGGAAAATCATTGCGGTCAAAGGCAAAATCGTTGTGGTCAACGTCTTCCCTATACAGGGCATGAAAGAGTAGGGTCTTGAGAATACTAGGACGTTGAGGGAGGCCTTTTACGGCAACTAGATTGGACACAGTGGCCCCCCAAAGTCAGCAAAATCAGCAAATTTCCGAGATTCGACCACTTTTTGACCAACTTTGGTCCCAAAATCGTTGCGGTCAAAGGCAAAATCGTTGTGGTCAACGTCTTCCCGATACAGGGCATGAAAGAGTAGGGTCTTAAGAATACTAGTGCGTCGAGGGAGGCCGTTGGCCGCAACTAGATCGAAGCAGTGGCCGCTCAAATTCAGCGAAAACGGCTACTTTCGGAGATTCAATCACTTTTTGACCAACTTCGTGACGTTACTGGTCACAAATCCAAAGGCCCCGGCAGATTTTTCTGCCTGTCTGCCCTGGCCAGTCCGAGCCTGTCCGTTCCGTTCTGCCGAGCGACATGCACCGCGTGGCTCCGCGTGGAGGGTTCGGCGATGGACGCCCCAACGACCCACATAAATTGCAAGGCTAAGTGCGTGGCCGCGGTGGCCGCGGTGGGCATGCCGGGGGCGGGGCGCCTCGGGATGCAAGCCGCGGCACCGTGCGTGCGGCACCTCTGGGCCGCTGGGGCTTGGGGGCGGCCTGGGGGCGGTCCGGGGGGCGGCGGTCCAACGCCGACCTGGGCCCGGCCCGCCTCCGCGCACACAAACACGGCGACATGGCCACGGCGGCACGGCACACTGCTGGAGGCAGGAGCACCGTCTCCTGAAAGGGTGCGCCCCGCCCGGGTAACAAGTTTCCCTTTGCCTTCCCGCCAAGTTGTGTGCCTCTCTCTTTGCATTTGACGGGAAAGCCACCCCAACTTCATCAAGCCGCCGTCTCGGCCAGGCAGGGCCAGGCAGGGCGCGCGAGTCAACACTGTGCGACAATGTGCGCGCCGTACTGTACCACTGTACGCGCGGAACGCGCCGCGGGCCAAAGAAACACACACACACGTCTCGCAGGCACTGCCAGGCAGTCCAGAAGGTTAGCACGCTTGCGTCTCTGTCATCCGCGCGCGCGGGTGGAGAACCGGGTCGAAAGTCTTCCTCCAGTGTGGTGTCACAGTGTCACGGGCCCAATCAGTGTGCGTCAGCCGGCGGGCGAAGGCGTAATCGTAATCCTCGGTGACATGGGGCGCCACCCGGCCTGGAGCGACACGCCGTGCAGGCATGGTCGGCCAGCCCGCCGGAGGGCACCACACCGGAGGGGCTCTTCGGCTAACGGGCGGACCGCCGCGATAGCCCGATAGTGTACCAGAAACCAGAAACGCGGCCGCGTGGGCCGCCGCAGGCGCATTCCGAATAGCGCTTCGTCTCTCTCGCACCCCCACGGCATGGCCCATGAGTGCGAGAGAGACGGGGCGACGGAAGCCCTTCGGAGTGGGCCGGGAGGTACGATACGGCACGCTTATCGGCGGCCCTTCGCGCCCACCGCAGCGCCTGGGCTGCAAGGCTTGAGGAAAAGTGAGTGGGCGGGCGGCATGCTCTTAAGGGCACCAGAGTCCCTGCAGTGGGCCCGAACCAAACGCACGAGGAGGGTACTACAAACGGGTTCAAGGGGGAAAACCATCGGCGCTTCGGCCCCCCTTGCGCATGGGAGGGCCTCCTGACGGCGCCCAGAGACATGTGGACAAAGTCGCGCGTCATCAGGCACTCACAGGCAGTGCACTGAACTGTGTCCCGGCAGACAGGTCGGCGCGACGAACGGACAGAATGACAGGCAGGCAGACAGACAGACGGACAGACAGACGCTTGAGGCAATTAGCAGGACGCGGCCCGCACGTGTTCGGCGCTGCATGGATGTTGCACGCGCGTGCCGGCCCGCGTGTTTTACTCCGAGAGTCGTTTCCGTCGCCCTCGCACTCAACGGGCATCGCTTAAAGGTTCGAGAGAGACAGAGCGACGGAAACGACTCTCGGAATCCATCGCCTGGTCGCGCGGCGGCGCGGCGTATGGCGATCCCTGTCCTGCTCAACCCGCTCCCTGTTTTGACAGGCAGGGACGCCGGCGTAATGCCAGCCAATAATGCCCCTACCCGCAATTTGGCGTCCGAAATGGAAAGTGCCCGCCGCCCGCGGGCTTCCCACTTCCCGGGGGAGCTCCCTTTCCAGACGAATACCAAATATCCTTGACCTTCATAAATGCGTGGAAGGCACGGCACGCGTGTACGCAAGGCGAAACGCAAGGCGAAAGCAAGGGTACGGCGCACAGTGGGCCAGAAGACCGGTGGAGGCGGCCAAAACTCTAGACGCGTTTTTAGCTCCAGAGTCGCTAAATGGGACTCGAACCGAACGTGTGACCCCGCCAATGGATTGCTCTTCGAACGAGGAATCGATTGGTGGGGTCACACGCTCGGTTCGAGCCCTGTTCAGCGACTCTGGAGCTCAAAACCCGTCTAGAGTTTTGGCCGCCTCCACCGGTCTTCTGGCCCACTGTGCGGCGTGCGCGCTGCGCGGGCTGCGCGCCTCGCTTCGGACACCTGCTTACCGCACTCAGGAATTCCCTTCAGGGCCGGGGAGCGCGCTGGCCACCGCGAATCCGAATCCTCGGAACACAACGCACGTACCCACACTCGCGTTTCACAAAAATGCGGCAAGACCGTCAAGAGAAACCGCGACTCTCGACACGGCTCCGCGAGCGCGTTGCGTTTTTTCGAGACTGTCACTGGCGGCGACGCGGCGACGCGGCGACCAGCTACGCGCAGCGAGACCAAGCGAGACGGCCGGCCGGTCGTGGCGGTGCGCCGGGGCGGACTCTACTGACTGAACGAACTGAGAGCGAGAGCCGCGCCGGGCCAGGCCGCCCCGCCAGCCGAGTCGAGTCGAGCCGCGAGCGAGCGCAGCCGAGGCCGCGGACGAGGCCGAGCGCCGAGAGCCGAGCCGGGCCGCATGGACGTTGCACGCCGCACGCATGGAGTGCACGCCCTGCACGCCCCGCGTTCCTCCAGGTTTTGGCGGCAATCCTGACGTGGCCGGCGACGCTCGCACCGCGCCGCATCGAGCCCTGCCCGACGACCGGCCAGGACGGCCAGCTGGGGAGGGTTGAGGGTTGCAGCGGCGCGTCGGGGCGTGGCGGGGCGTGGCGAAGCGCAGCGCGGCGGCGCAGGGGGTGGGCGTGCGCGGCGTGCTCCGGGGAGGCCAGGGGAAGGAGGGTGACGCACCGCCGCGACGACGGCCAGCTCGGCCTGCGCGCGCGCGCGCGTGTGTGTGTGTGTGTGTAGGTGTGTGTGTGTCTGTGTGTGTGCGCGCGCGCGAGTGCGTGCGTCTTGCTGGAGGGCTGGGAGTGCGAGCCCTTTGGCAGCCGCGGGGGTTGGCGCGACGGTGAGGCACGACGCACGGCAAGTCTCGAAGGAGGCATTTACCCCTCCCCTCCCCTCCCCCGCCTGCTGGTCTTCCAGCGTGCTTCGAGGCTTGCGGACCGGCTTGCGGAGGTGCCGGGAGGGGAGCGCCGGCCTGCATGTTGCATCCCTTATGTCGTTCACGTCTTGCGCGGCTCCCTCAGCACCCCGCCCCGCCCCGCCCCTCCTGCCTGACTTCGTCCTCCTCGTCCTTTGAGTCGGGCTGTCGGGCTGGGCTGTCGTCCTTCCTTGCAGGGATGTGGCGCCGGGCTGCGCCGGGCCGGCCGGGCCCCGCGAGGGGCAAGGGCGGATCCAGGGACGGGTTCAGGGGGGGGCGATGTCACGAAAGTTGCCTACCTACAGGGGTAATGTGCTACTTTTTGCCTACTTTTCAGGCGGCTTCGCCGCCTTCAGGGGGGGGCGACGCCCCCATCGCCCCCCCCCTTGGATCCGCGCCTGGCGAGGGGTGGCTGCGCGCTGTGGCCACGCTGTAATCACTTTAGTCGCGACCACGCCCCGCGCCCGCCAGGGCCTCGAGGCCCGAGGCCCCACTGGAGCCCCGTTGTTGGCGTCTGCGGCCGTCGAGTCAGACAGCGGACTGATTCCGAGAGTCGTTTTCGTCGCCCCGTCTTCATCGCACCTGTACGGGACGCATCGTGAGTGCGAGAGAGACAGAGCGACGGAAACGACTCTCGGAACCGTAGTCTGCTGGCTGCAGATGTGACGCGATACCGACCGGCCGTTCGTGGAGGGCGAGCCTGCGGTCGGCGTCGTTCGCGCCGCGTGGCCACCACACCGTGTGGGCGAGCCGGCGAGGGGCCCACCCGGCCTGGCGGTAGGCCTGCACGGCCTGCACGGCCTGCACGGTGGAGCCGTGTAGCCACGCGGCAGGCGAGGCGTGGTCGGCGTGGTCGGCGCGACGCACTGCAGCCGAGGTCGCTGGACGGCCCGCCGGCCTGCAGGCTCATGCCACTGTCTCTCTCGCACTCATTGGGGCACCCTTTCAGTGCGAGAGAGACAGAGCGACGGAGCGCCGTCCGGAGCCAGCCGACTGGCTGGGCCCCAATTAAGCGACCAAACAAAGCCGGGCGTGTCGATACACTCGAGGCGAGATGGCGAGGTGAGAGGGCGGGTCCCAGCGGTCCTGCAGCTTGATGCAGAGCAAGGTTCTCTTCGCCCTGTCTCTCTCGCACTCACGGTGCGTCGTCCAGATGTGCGAGAGAGACGGAGCTCTACGAGGGCGCTGTTTCGAATCAAGCTGCTGGCCCGTCGAGTGGAGGTCAGGCGCACCTCGCACAGTGGGCCACCGGCGGCGTTTTGAGTTCCAGAGTCGCTAATCAGGCCTCAAACCGAACGTGTGACCCCACCAATGGATTCCTCATTCGGAGAGCAATCCATTGGTGGGGTCACACGTTCGGTTCGAGTCCTATTTAGCGACTCTGGAGCTCAAAACGCGTCTAGAGTTTTGGCCGCCTCCACCGGTCTTCTGGCCCACTGTGCCTCGTCCCAAAGCGCGACTCCAGTTGTCTCGACTCGAGCAATGTTTTCTTGATGTGTGGCGCCGTCACTCAGCATCGACTGAATTCGCGGGAGGATGGGTCGTGACCGGGCTAGCCGCACTAGCGGCACGAACGCTTGACGCGAAGAGCGACGCGACCGGGCCGCGCACCTGCTCGCCGCGTCGCCGCGTCGCCGCGTCGCCGCCATTGGCCAGGTGCTCTGTCTCTGTCGCATTCACAGCGTGTGCGAGAGAGACGGAATCGGCCTGCAGGTGACGTCATCGCTGCAGCACGCACTCCGTGCACTCCGCACGCAGGCGGCGCAGTGCAGCTACCCCGTGCCCTGCCCTGGCACTGCCGCACAACAACCCCCGCCAACCCCAGCCAACCCCTCACCGGCACGTTTCGCCAACGAGGCCGCTCCCTCTCGCCCGGCCCGGCCCGACCCGGCAGCCCCAGCCCCAGTGGCGTGCGGCGTGCGCGCACGGCCGCGTTGCCAGCGTGGATTCCGGGCGGGTGGTCTCTCTCTCGCACTCGTGGGGCGCGGCCGCACGCGTGCGAGAGAGACAGGACGGCGGGGCCTCCGCTCGGAATCAGCCCGCAGTCGTGCGGAGGAAAGGGGAGGCAAATAGGCGGCGCGAGGGTGAAGGTGCGGGGAGGGGGCAGTTTGGACTCGCAAGTAAAGCAGCCGCTTTTCATGAGCACATACAACAAGCCCCTTGACTTTTGGCCCGCAGGCCCGCGGGGGCCGCACCACCGGTTCGGGCATCCGACTGCCTACTGCTTCGCGAGGCGCGTGGCGTGAGGTGCGAGATGGAGATGGAATGACGTCAAAAAACCGAAAGTGACGCACGCGGGCACGCAGGCCCTCCTGGGCGCCTGCACTGGCTGGGTCAGGACCGCCAGGACGCGCTGTATATTGAATGGCTGCCCAACTGAGTCAACACGCACGGCGACGCACGGCGACGCACGGTGTGGGCCATGAACGGGGGCCCTGTTCGAACGCCTTATCTTGACCCCGCACCGTCCGGCCGTTCGGCCCTCTTCCCTGCGCCTTCCGTTCGCGCGCGAGAGTCAGGCGGACAGACAGACAGGCGGGCGGACGGACAGACGGCAGGCAGACGGACGCGTCATCCACCTGCAGTCGTTTGAGATAAGGGCCCCACGACTGCCACCACGCGCGGCGGCGGGCCTCTTGGCCGCGGTGGTCATAACATAGAAGTGCGCCCGTTTAGAGGTGCCCGAGGTGCCCCCGTTTTTAAGAGCGCCCGCGACATTCCACTATGATCCTGGATGCAATCACACAGTGAAATACAATAGAATACAGTAGTAGTTTATTTCCGAACCTACATCACATTATTGTCAAAGATTAAAAGCCCATCGATGACTCCGCGGGTCAGCCCTGCGTTCCGTCACCGGGTGACGTCGACGGCCGCGGCACCGCGTCTTGAAGCACGCCGTCGTCGTCCGACGGCGGCTCGGCGTCCGAAGTGGGCCCGGCGTCCGATAGGGGTTCGGCGTCGGACATGGGCTCGGTGTCCGAGACGGGCTCGGACGCGGACGACTGGTCGACCCGCATCATGTCCTCGCCGCCGTCGTGCGAGCCGAGCCGCTCCAGGAAGCCGTCGACCGCGTCCCTCGCGGGCTCGGAGGACACGCGCCGGAACAGCTCCTCCACGGTGTGCTCGCTGGCGGGCTCGTCGTCGTCGGCGTCCTCGTCCGGCGCGCTGGGGCCCGCCGCCATGAGCTCCTCCTCGGACGGGATGGCGGGGATGTCGCGCATGTCGGCGCGCAGGAAGCCCATCCCGTAGGAGGCCATCGAGTCCAGCGACGCGCTGCGGCGCTGCAGCGGCTGCGGGTGCCGCACCTCGACGGGCTCGCTCTCGCCCGCCGCCAGCTGCTCCCGGATCGCCTCGCGCCGCGCCGCCAGCGTCCGTGACGTGCCGCTGCCCGGGGTGCCCGGCGCGGACGCCGCGGCGTCGTGCCGAGCGGACAGCGGCCTGCCGCCCTTGTACAGCGGGAACCTGCGCGGAAACAGAGACGTAACGTTCGCTCGAACCAGGATCGACCAACCCCTCTTCTCGTAGACGCAAACCCACTTGATGGCGTCGAGGCTTTGGGGCGGCCAGGGCGCCGGCGGTGGCGGCACCTGCTCCGCGCCGCAGCCCCCGTGGTACGCCGACGGCCCCGGTGCGGGCGGCGCCCCCGCGGCCCTGGAGGAGCCTGGCCGAAGCAGCGGCGGCAGCGGGCCCTTCTGCCGCAAGCGCACCGCCTCGGCGAGGAGGGCGTCGCGCCGCGCCTGCAGCGTCACCACCAGCGACTGGAGGCGCGTCACGTCCTCGTCGAAGTCGGACAAGTCCTTCTCGGGGGCGGCCTGCGGAGGGGAACACAGCCGACGCCGTCAAGACGCTCTAGAGCTCAAAACGCGTCCGGGATTTTGACCGCCTCCACCGCTCTCCTGGCACACTGCGCGCACCGTTTGCGCGCTTCGCGCCCGCACCGGCCCTTACCCTGCCGTCGATCCTCGCCACGGTCGCCATCAGGCGGTTCCTCTCCTCGATCAGCACCAGCAGCAGGTTCTGCCGCTGCGTGTTCTGCTCGATGGCGCTCTTGTACTCGGCGAACTTGGCGCGCACGTCCGCCTGCCGACCGAGAGTTCGAAATCAGCCGCCAAGCCGACAGCCTCCCCGACAAGACCTAACAGGCACAGGCACCCACCTGCATGCTGCTGATGAGGTCGTAGAACTCGGCCCTGATCTCGTCCGCCGAGCTGCGCAGGTCCCAGATGAAGCGCTTGAGCAGCGCTTGCTCCAGCTCCGTCATGTCCACGACGCAGCCGAACTTGCGGTACTGGGCCTCCTCGATCTGCTCGCGGAGCGCCTTGAGGCGGTCGCGCATGAAGCGCACGTCCACCTTCATGCGGTGCAGGTGCATCTGGTTCTTCCTGTTCCGTCATTCAATTTGGATTCAGTGGTTAGTTACCGAAGACGCGCGCCGCCGCACAGTGGGCCAGAAGACCGGTGGACCAAAATTCCAGATGCGTTTTGAGCTCCAGAGTCGCTAAATGGGACTCGAACCGAACGTGTGACCTCACCAATGGAATCCTCGTCCGGAGAGCTATCCATTGGTGGGGTCACACGCTCGGTTTGAGTCCATATTAGTGACTCTGGAGCTCGAAACGCGACTAGAATTTTGGCCGCCTGCGCCGGTCTTCTGGCCCACTGTGCGCCACCGCCACGACGACTTACTTGTGCTTGGCGCGCTGCGTCTTGGCCTCCTCGTCCAGCTGCAGCTTCCGCCGGTCCAGGTCCGCGAGCACGGCCGTGTTGAACACGAGCGTGTTCTTGATGAGCTCGAACTTGGGGGGCTGGTGGGGCGCGGGCGTGGCCTCCGTGCCGGGCGCCGCCCCCTGGTCGGCCCCCTGGTCGGGCACGGCGGGGGCCTTGACGTGCTGCAGCTGGCTCAGGCGCAGGACCACCACGGTCTCCACCTTGTTGAGGCGCTGCTGCTTCTCGCGCCGGAACTCCTGCAGCTGGGCCTCCTCGGCCCGCAGGTCGTCCTCCCCCTTGCGCAGACGCTTGGTGGCCGCGTCCTGCTCCTTGCGCAGGTGCTCCACGTCCTTCCGCAGATCCACGACCTCCTTCTCCGTCTCGTGCCTGCGGCAGGCAACGCAAGCTTAGCTCAAGCAGCCACGCAGTAAACTGTAGTCCCCCGCCCCCGCCCACAGCCCCCGGTACTCAGGTACTGTACCTCTGGGCGCGCAGCTCGAGGGTGAGGTCGAACAGCTCCTTGGAGCAGTCCGGCGGGCACTCCGTGTCGTCGAAGCGCGTCGGGCCCAGCTCGTTGGAGTCGAGGCTCGCGTCGTCGTCGTCCTCGTCGCTGGAGGATGACGACGAGGAGGAATCGTCGCTGGAGGCGGCTGCAAGCAGACGGACATGTCAGGCACATCTAGACGGACAGCAGGACAAAGGGGACGCGAGGAGCCCTACCGTCCGGGCCCTTGGGCGGCTTGTACTTCTTCTTGAAGATCCTCTTGAGGTAGTCGACGTACGCGTTGTCGCCCACCGCCTCGATGAAGTTGAGTTGGACCTCCTTCTCCTTCTCCTCGCACCTCATGATCTCCCTCGCCTTCCCGTCCAGCTTGTTCTGGATGGCGTTAATCTGCGGCCCAAAACCATAGAGTGCCACAAGGCAAACTGCGCTGGGATTCGAACCGCCGACCTTCGCACGGCACGCACCTCGTTCTGCACCTCGCGGCAGGCCACCTCCTTGTCGGCCACGTGGGCGGCGAGGAAGTCCTCCCGCTCCTCGCAGGCCTTGATGACGACCAGCTCCTGGTGCAGGACGAGCAGGTGGTGGCGCAGCAGCGTGGCGTCGCGCTGGACCTCCAGGCGCCGCGACGCCAGCGCCTCCACGGCAGCGTCCACGGCGTCCACCTCGCGGTTCATGTCGGCGACCAGCTGCCGCTGCTGCCACACCTTGGCGATGAGGCGCTGCGCGCGCAGCTCGTCCTCCCAGGCCGTGTTGACGGTGTCGTCGGCGCCCAGCGCGCGCAGGGCCTGCATGTCCACGTCCGAGTCGACGCGGCCCAGGTCGGCGCCGCTGCCCTGCCGGTCCTTGTCCCGGTGCTCCTTGTCGCCGCCCACCAGCGCCTCCACCAGCTTGCTCATGGACTCCTGCTCGCCGACCGTGAGCACGATGTCGCCCTGGGCCCCCTTGAGCACCTCGAGCTCCGCGTCGTCGCGGATGGGCGGCGCGATCTCGATGGTGGACTTGAATCCGCGGCCCTGGCGACGCGAGGGCGCGGCGCGGTCCATCTCCACCTCGATCTCCTCCTCGGTGACCTGCGCCCAGCGAGATACTCAGCAACACGCGTGGTTTGAAAACGAATCCTCGACGCGCGGCCAAGCGCGCGGCCTCCATTGGCTGCACCTGGAACTGGCGTTCGGGGTACTCGATGGCGGCATCCACGGTGGGCGGCTCGGGGGCCTTGACGTGCAGGTGGGCGGGCAGCTCGTGGTGGATGCGGCGCAGCAGCGCGCTCTGCGACAGCATCCTCTCCCGCAGGCCCGCCTTGCGCTGCCGCAGCGCCAGCACCTCGGCGTTGAAGGAGCCGACCAGGTCGTCCAGCTGCCGGGGCACAGTCATTTCGCACAGTGTCGCGTCGCTCGGTCTCTCTCGCACCCTTGCGGACCGCCAGGCGGGTGCGAGAGAGACCGCGACGGAGCGTCACACCGTCACGGGGAGGACTGTACCCGCTTCCTGACGCGCAGCAGCTGCTCGTATTTGCCGACGGTTGTCACCACCTGGTCGGCGGGCACCTTGTAGTCCTCGTCGGACTTGAGCTTGTAGTCGCCGATGGTCTGCTCCGCCTCGCGTATCAGCTCCTCGTCCAGCGGGTCCGTCCGTTTCTTGTCCGGTTTCTTCCGGTGGAAGTGCTTCCACTGGTGGGGCAAAGAAAACACCAAAAATTTGCATTGTGTTTCTTCGTTTTGGGCGGAGTGCGTCTGCCGACGGATTCCGCAAGTAGTAAAGATGCCCCGGGAGATGTCAGAATGGGGAATCAAAATGGCGGATGTCAGAATGGGGCATCTTTACTACTTGGGCCACCCTTACTACTTCCGCACAGCGTTCCGCTCCGTCGCTGCCGCCCCCTCCCACCCACGGGACGGCCCGTGAGTGCGAGAGAGACAGCGACGACGGCGACGATGTGCGGAATGATTCGGATACGGCTACGGCCTCAGCGACTTGCCTCCAGCTCCCTGCGCTCGCGCCTGAACTTGCGCGAGTGGTACTTGTCCAGCAGGCGGCGTAGGCGCGCGTTGAACTTGTGCTCGAAGGCCGAGATGCCGCGCAGGAAGGACTCGACGGGCGCCGGCGCCAGCGTGATGTCCTCGTCCTCGTCCGGCGGCGCCACGTCCAGCTCCACCGTCCTGGAGCAGAGCAGCGGCCAGGCCCACGGGTCAGCGAGAGAGCGCCAAACGACGTGCACCCGCATGCAGTGTGGTTAGCAGTGCGGCGCGCTTCGAAACCCCCGCTTCAAACAAGTGTGGATTCAGAGGGGAGGGGGTGAGGAAAATTGCCCCCTCTGACCCGCTCTGACCCCTAGATAGCCGCCTGAAAGGTAGGCAAAAAGCAGCACTTGCCCCCGTAAGTAGGCAAGAAGTGCTACACTGTGCCCCCCTCAGACCGCACCTGGATCCGCGGCTAGCTACACAAACCCATCGCGGCTTTGGCACGGGCCCCGGTGCGTATGGTGACGTGCTATGGCTGAGTGAAAGGAGGTGCCTCGCCCGGAAGTCGTGCACAAAACACTCGGGACAAAACAGCGGTGCTGGATGCACACCATGCAAGTGCCCGCTGCTCGCCGCTCGCTGGGGGCGAGGAGCGCAAGGAGCAAAAAGGCCCGCCACTCTACCTCTGGGGCGCAATGCGGACGAGCCTCGCTTTCTCTGTGGTTCAAGGCGGCAAGAACAAAAGAAACGAGTTGCCGTTACGCCGAGCTTTGCCTCCGGTGCCGGAGTGCCGGGTACCCGCCACTGCCCCGATCAAGACGATCGGCGAGGACGTCATCGTCGTTGACAGCGTGTCTCGCTGTGCGGCACAGTGTGCCAGCCGGCCCCGGCCGCACGGCGACGGGGCGGCACGGTCTACCTGCCTCTCCTGAGCGCGTCCGCCTGACGGATTTGCACCATGGCGCTCGCCACCTCGAACTCCGCCCTCAGCTTCCTCTGGCGGATCGTCTCAACGAACATGTCCTCCTTCCTGGAAGAAGGGAAAGCGTCACGGAGGGCCACGTCTCTCTGTCGAACAAGTGTGGAGCAGCTCACGAAGCCCCCATCCCAAGTGGACAACCCAACGCTTGAAGTGTGGAGACTGCAGTCTGTACTTACACTTGCAAGTGCGGAGGCCGCAAATTCCACACCTCCACATGTCAAGCGTGGCCTTTGTCCACATTTGGTTTTGCAGTGCAGGCGCGGGCGTGCAACTGCACCTGCACCTGCCCGCACTCACCGCACGGCGTACACCTTGATGCCGTGGCCGTCCACGGCGTCCGTGTAGAAGTCGGCCAGCTTGCGGTACTGGAGGCTGGCCTTCTCCAGCGGGAAGGCCAGCTTGGCGCGCAGCAGGTCCGCCTCGGCCTCCAGGGCCATCCGCACGCTGGGCGTGATGCGCGGGTCCAGCTCCAGCTCGGACTGCGGGATCTGCTGCGACACTGGCAGCTGCCGGTTGCTGGAAGCCGAGAGCGAAGATGGGGGGCACAGTGGACCAGAGCATGTGACCCCACCAATGGATTCCTCGTTCGGAGAGCAATCAAATAGTGGAGTCACACGATCGGTTCGAGTCTCATTTTGCGACTCTGGAGCGCAAAACGCGTCCGGGATTTCGACCGCCTCCACCGGTCTTCCGGCTCACTGTGTGGGGTGCGCGGCGGGGAAGTCCCACTCTGGCCGGGACTCGAGGCAGTGCCGGGCAGTGCCAGGGCGCTTACCGCTTGACGATGTTGTTGTAGGCCGCGGCGAGCCCCCACAGCGCCTGCTCGGCGCGCTGCATTCGCTCCGCCGCCACCCTCGCCTTGCGGTCGCTCTCCGCCTTGGCGCACTGCTCCTCCAGGGTCGGCACGTCGGCGCCGTACAGCTCCTCTGCGGGGGCAGGCTGCGAAGGGAATGTCGCCGAGAGAATTAAAACGTGACTGTGGCGGGGTGGAGTTTCGCGCTGGCCAGAAAAAGCAACCGACCGGCGTGATGGCAACTGGGGCGGCCAGCGAGACCGCGTTGGTGGAGGGGACGCCGCCATCCGGGTGCACGGCGTACATGAAGAGGTTGCCGTCGGGCCCCGACGAGTACAACGTGCGGAGGTCGGCGGCCAGCGCCAGTCCCGTCACGGGTCCGTTGTGCATCCCTGCAAGTTTGGCTGTTGGCAACGAGTGACTCCAGAAAAATGTGCGGATCACTTAAATCTGCGGCGTACCCAGGCTCCAGTAATCCGACAAGTCGCTCGAGTCGTCCTTGACGCGTGCGCACCGCACGGTGCCGTCGCCCATGCCCAGGAACACGTACTTGTTGTCCAGGCTGCACATGTTTACCTTCATTATCACTCGCGAAATTAACATAGCTTGACGAAAGCCGTTTGAACACGTACTAGTATAGGTAGCTGGCCAGCTCCAGGTCGTCGTTCCCAGGCACGGCCACGCACTCCAAGGGCTCCACCTCCTTCGGGCCGTCCGAGGCCTCGGTGGTGTCGAAGCGGTACTTGTAGAGGTAGCCGGCGTCGAACCCCGCCACGGCCAGCATCACGGTGTCCTCGTCGACGTAGCGGGCCCAGCGCACGGCGCCGAGCTCACTAGGCATCACCAACTCCTCCGCGTCCTCCTCCGGTCCAGAGTCCGCTGCGCGCCACCAACACGGTCACCCCTGAGAACGCCCGCCGCCGCCTAACGGGACAGGCAGGCCCGGCGCACGCGGCTGCATCCGCGTTGCCCACCCAGCGCCCGGCCAGGTGATACCCCGCGCGCTCGCTCGAGCCGCAGACCCTGCAGGCGCGGAGTATCGCCTCGCCGGGCTCGCCGTCGCACAGTGGGCTAGAAGACCGGTGGAGGCGGCCAAAACTCTGCACGCGTTTTGAGCTTCAGAGTCGCTAAACAGGACTGGAACCGAGCGTGTGACCCCACCAATGATTTCCTCGTTTCGAGTCCTGTTTAGCGACTCTGGAGCGTTTAGAGTTTGTGCGCCTCCACCGGTCCTCTGGCCCTCTGTGCGTCGGCTTACCCAGGAAGGCCTCCTCGTCGATGTCCAGCCCGGCGTTGTCCGCCTTGACGCGCTCCAGCTGCCGCCTCTTGGCGGCCATCTTCTTCTCCCTGCGGCGCTCCACCCTCCGGGCGTGCGCCTCCCTGCGGCAGAAAGGCCGGTCACAGCGGCGTCCTGGCGACGGTGAACGGCGGCACGGCGACGGACGCACCCTCGGAGGCGCGACTTGACGCTCTTGTACACCAGCGTGCGGACGGCCACGGCGTCCTCCGGGTAGCGGTAGGTCACGTCGTGGGCGGTGGACTGGGGCAGCTCCAGTTCCACCAGCTGGCCGTGGGCGCAGCCCGCCAGGACGGTGAAGGGCTGTGCGAAGGGTCCACCATCAGACGCGGTTCTTAGAGCGGCAGGCAGCAAGGGACACTGGAGTACCTGCTCCGGCTTGAAAGTGAGGAACGTGACCACGTCCACGGTCTGCACGAAGCCCAGCGGCACTAGGCGGGCAAAGGCGCCGTTCGGCTCGACGCGGAACAGGAAGACGGTGCGGTCGGCGCCCCCGGACGCCAACACCTCGCCGTCGTCGGACAGCGCCAGCGCCGTGGCGGCCTGCGAGTGCGCCTTGGACGCCTGCAGCAGCGTCACCAAGTCCGCCGTGCCGTGGCCGGTGCCGTGGTGGTCCGCGTAGTGGCGCTCGGCCGCGGCCAGGTCCACGACCACGACGCGGAGCACGCCGTCGCCGCACGCCAGCACCAGGACCGCGCCGCACGCCGCCACCTGCACCAGGAGGGTGGCCGTTGAACCTCCTTCTCAGCTACTCAAGGCCGATGCGAGGGGCTGAAGGTATACCTTGGGAGGCAGCCACAGCATGGCGTGGCCCGCGGCGGGGAAGGCTCTGGCCACGACCAGCCCCCGCAGGCCGGGGCTGTAGAGGTGCAGCCGGCCCTCGACGCCCAGCGTCGCCACGAAGGCGGACAGAGGCGCCGCGCACACGGCCGCCACCCCGCACGAGTGCGTCGTCAGCAAGCGGCGCGGCGCGGGGGCGTCGGCCGACAGCGACAGGTCCAGCTGCCACAGGCCGCCGCCGCCGTCCTGGAGACAAGCGCCGTGGCTTTTATCTCGCATTTGTCGGGCATTCGATGCGACGCGGCACAGCGGCACACACAGTGTGTCACACACCTGGGCAAACCACGTGCTGGCGCTCTGGTCGTCCAAGTGTTTCCTCTGCAAGCAGAGCAGGGACGCGGGGCCCAGCTCGTCCGCCACCTCCAGCTCGAAGATGGGCTCCACCTCGATGAAGCGGTCCTCGTCAGGAGGGTCGGCCAGGTCGATCGTCTCGAAGTACCACACCTTGACGAAGCCGTCCATTCCTGTGGAGCGAGAGACAGTGTACTCGGAGCCGAGTGGGCGAGAGTGACTCCCACCCGCGTCGCCAGGCCGACAAGGCGGCTTACCCAGGGAGAGCAGCTCGCCGTTGGAGTACTCGAACTGCGCGACGGGGGCGCTGTGGCACGGCTTCCTGCCCTTCTTGGTGACCTCGGCCTTGATGAGCCCCGCCTCCCACAGCAGGATGTTGCCCCACTCGCAGCCCGACACCACCTTGCCGTCCGGGAGGCTGAGCACGCCGATGACGTCGCTCACTTCGGTGTTGCCGAAGCGGCCCTGCGCGCCCTCCAGCTTGAGCCCCGTGAACGTCTCCGCCATCCTCCAGAAGCGGACGTGCGCGCTGCCGGCCGACGTGATGCTGCCCGGCATGTAGCTGGAGAAGGCGGCGCTGAAGACGTCCTGCCCGGACGACTTGGCGCGCAGCATGATGCGCGAGTCGCGCCAGTTCCACACCGTGAACAGGTTGTCCGGCGAGCCCGCCATGGAGCACAGCAGGTCGCCGTCGACGCTGGAAGCGAGAGGCAACGTCACGATTCGGCCTCGGCCTCGGCCTCGGCGCGAGCGTCGGGGCGGCCGGAGCGCGGAGGTACCCTACCTGTAGTTGAGGTAGGTGTAGGCGCGGTCCGCACCCCGCTTGAGCACGGCGACGATCCGCAGCGACGGCCACTCGTACACGATGATCCTGGGCCGCTTGCCCTTCTCCCCGACGGCGAAGTGAGGCTGCTTGGGGTTTCTCTGAACAAGCGACAAAGGGGTAAGGAATCGGGAACCGCACCGCGGCCGTGTCCTAGGACAGCTGCAGCTCCCCGCCGCGTCCGCTCACCGCTATGTGGCCCAGGCCCGCGCCGCCGGCGCTGCGCCGGAACCACAGCTTGCGGTCCGAGATGCGGAAGAAGTGTAGCAAGTCCCCGGAGATGAAGGCCAGCGTGTCGGGGTCGAGGACGCACAGGTTGGAGTGCAGCTGGCAGTCGTAGCCGAAGGAGAATCTGGCGCGGGTTAAGGGAAACGGAAACCAGGGTCGCGGGGCGAATGGGGCAGCGGCGTGGCAAAGGATACTGGAACTCCAGGACGTTGGCCGGCACCGTGCAGCCCTCCGACAACACGGGGCCCGACACGAAGTCCTTCTCGTCGTAGACATCCTGGCCGTCCCGCTCCGAGGACTCGCCCCCCGTGGAGCTGGCCGCCGCCTCGCTCTCGCTGTCGCTGTCGTCGGCGACCTCCTCCTGCTGCCCGAGGAGCTTCTCCACGGACGGCGCGACGTTGGACTGTCGGCGCCCCTCGGAGCCCGCCGAGGACGCGACCGCCACCACACTGTTCCTGGTGCCGCTCGGGGCAGGACGGCCAGGGTCCTCGGCGTCCTGGCTGCTGGCTGGGGGCAGCGACGCCCCCGACGCGTGTCCCTGACGGCTTCCCCGTGAGGTGGATGACGTCACCGCACCTAGCTGCTGACGGCTGCCGTCCTGCGAGGATTGCCGACGGACTTCACTCGCGTCGCCGTCCATCTCTGTGGAACCTGTGCGTGACGAATCAAGTCACAGAGGACATCGACAGTCGACCTGCCTGCCTGCCCGGCGAGTCGAAGCGCTAGTAAGGACGGCCATGTCTCGTTTTGCAGTGCAGGCGAGCATGTGTCGGGCCCGAAATGGCATACGATCATGTGTGGTCTAGCCCTTAATGGTAATGGTAATGCAGTGTGAGGGCGGGCCAGCCCGCCGAGGTGCCCGCCGCGCAGGGTTGCCTATCCCGCACTTGACAGGCGCGCCGGCGGCGTGTTTAATCACAAGTCCTCATTCTCGGTGCTCTTACCTCGCAAACTGGACCGCTGTTTCGAAGGGTCCTCTCCACCTTTCCCAGAATCAGACATGACGGCACCCAAAAGTCACTGCTTTTCTAAAACAAGAAATAAACACGCGCCTCGGCAGTGGCGGTCCAGATTTGTTTTCCCCGTCGTTCAAGAGAAGAAGCGCGTCGTTATAGCAACCAAGTGAGCATCTCTGACGCGTAGTGCACCAACCCCTCGAAAAGAAAATACCGAACGTGTAACGCATTCAAAGACGGTCTATCGCGTCGCGTAAATTCAAACCATCATATTAAAATGAAAAAGTTTTAATTTTAAAATAATACGCATTGAAGTTTGACGGTCTTTATTCTGTCTTTGAAATTAACTTTTGGATGGTTTTCAATGTTCAGGTTGGACCGCCGTGCTGCAGATGTGTGATGTCGGCTGTCACTTTCAAAACATAACATTGCCTCAGGTAGGAAAGAAAGAGAATGATATCTGCTTATGTACATGTTTCTAACGCAAATCTTAGTGAAAATTCTTATCAGTTCTTGTGTATTTTTTAAATGATAATAGTTGTCATGACATGGAATTACTTTTAAGTTTGTTTCAATGGTGCCCCAAGTGCCCCTCTGAAGGTTATGGATGTAAAGCAAGCAGCTGAGAATTTTCATTTCATGAATTACCTGCCTTTTCCCCTATTAAATGTGTTTTTTTAACATTTTGGTTGGTTGTCTGCTGTTTCAGCCTCCTTCCATCTGGTCAGAATGCACGTGGGTGGTCATGGGGATGCCAATCCCAATACGTCGTGGCTCAAGAGTCGAGGAATGTGGGTGACATACGGGCTAGGAATGCTAGCGCTTCATCTAATTCTTCTGAGTGTACCTGTGCTTAGTATAGCAATGGCTTGGACCATCACCAACCTGATACACAACTTGGTACATCTTCTGTTCCTTACTGTGCTTTTCCGTCCAGTTTGATGCTCCATTGAACCAAATGCTTAAAATTTTTCATTCCAGTGCCATCTTGTATTCTTGCACTCTCTGAAAGGAGCTCCATGGATTGCTCAGGACCAAGGAGATTGCCGCAGTTTGACACACTGGGAGCAAATTGATAATGGGATGCAATTTACGAAGACTAGGAAGTTTCTATTTGCTGTCCCAATTGTGCTGTAAGTACCATACCGTTCATAACTTATATTGTTTTAAAAATGCTTTTTTGGTGCCTTTTTAAAAATATTTATTGTATGTGTGATTTACAGATTTTTACTGACATGTTTTTATACCAAGAATGATTCAAGTCATTTTGTTGTTAACTTTATTTCACTTGTGATAGTGATTGTACCTAAGCTACCTCAACTCCATAGAGTTAGAATATTTGGAATCAACAAGTACTGAACAAAAGACAATGTATTGCATTTTAATGATTTTTCTGAATGTGAATCTATTTTAACACAATTGTGCAATATTATGTAATGAATAATGTTAACATGGTTGTCTATGATGTTAATAGGTTTCTCAGAATCTGAGAGAAATCTTCCTTGTGCCAATTTCATTTTGAGTTCAGAATTTAGTCCCTATATCTTGACAAGAACAGTCCAGCTGCCAAATTAGTAGTATGAAAATGATTTTGTTTTTGTTATAACAGTTTTACTTAAGGCAACGTTTAAATTAAGGTTATCTTGTTATCTATATTTGTTAACATGCGCCCCGCCAGATGTGTTTCTAGTACTATTTATAAACATGCTGTGCAACCTTTATTGCTCAATATATTAGTTATGTAGTCTTAGTAAAATGTTTGCTAGATCTTCAGACATTTCCAATGTGCATTTTCTTCTAGCAGCTGGTAATCCTAAAATCAACAGTGCCTGGTTTAAACAATTCATAAGACCTGTCACAATGTACTGCGTTAGCTTACTTTTCATTTTGTATTTTGTATTTGCATTCTGAGTCATCATTATGTTAAGTTGGGAGCTGTTATATTTTTGTACCCTTGCCCTTTTCTTTTGCAAAGTCGTCTTATCTTTATACTACCTTTTTTTTAAAACATTGTGATAACAATAGATTTACCTTTATTTGTGATTCGAATGAGGAAGCAAATAAACTCCATGTTTTGCGTCCAAGAGATACATTTTTCCCTCCCGTCCTGCCGTCGAGAGTGCGCCCTGTTTGAAGCATTTGAAGCTTGCCGCCCAGGAAGTCACCGCTTTGCCGCTGCAAACCGCTCGCTGTCCATTCGTAGGCGGCGGTGCGCTGCTGAGCAGCTGTTAGTTGCTGGAGTCGCCACCAGAGCGCAGCTTTCGGTCAGTCTTCTCTAAGATGGCCGAGTGAGCGGATCGTACGTCAACGGCCCCCGTTTTGTCATTACACATTACTCGGCACAGTTTCCAAATCCGAACCGTGCCGTAGTTTTAGCAGTGAGATGTCGTGTTGAGTGGTGTGCAGTGACGGTGTGCGTGCGTGTGTGAGTGTTTGCGCGCTCGGCCCTCCCGAACGACGGCCGCCGTCGAGCCGAGCCGTGCACAGTTACTCCGTTGTGTTCCTTCTGCCAGGCTTGTTGGCTTTTAATTAATGTCAGAGTGTTGACCTAGTATGTGTCGCAAGTCTTGCTTGTGAACCGTCCCGGAGTATGGAACACACATGGCTTTTCCACAACCTGATCGTGGCTTTGGGATTACTTGAAGAATGCACGGCGTTTCCCATTCACTTGGGAGCAGGTGAGTTCGAGTTGCCCCTAGTAACGGTATCCCAGTGTGGTGGCGCGCAGTGGTGGCGATGGCTGCGTGGGTCAGCCGTTTTTCTCGCAGCATTTCGACCCCCAAGAAGTCTTCCTCGCGAAACGGCCCTTCACGATGCGTGCCCGAGATTTGACTCGTCGCGCAGAGGCTGCGGAGTGCTATCAAACGGGAATGGGAGGTTACCTTTGCCTCTGTGTGCACAGGACAAGTACTCAGCACACAGTGCACCGCCCATATTACCACGCGTCCTTGGGAAAACACACTAGAGTAGTGGTGCCGTGTTATTTGGGCACAAGTATAATGTATAGTCGCGTGTCCCCATCTGCTCGCGGAGGCTGTCCCAGTGCCATTGTGAAAATGTCCAGGATGAATGTGGTGGGGGTGGATTTTGGAAACGTCTCTTCCAGTCAGTCCCCTTTACTTCCCCCGTGAAATTGTATCATTGTATTTAAATGGAATAAAACATGGTCCTGCTCTTGTGACAACTGGATTATTTGCTCATTGGCTATGTTGTCAGTAGTGTTGGGGTGAAAACCAGTTAGTTTCACAGATATGTGGACCCTGTCTGTAGTCTCCATGTGCCTCAATTTGCCTAGACCAGATTACAGCCAGCCTCTCATCTTGGGAAGATGTGAATGCTGTTGATTGTGGTGTTGGGAGACTGACTGGGGGTTGTGTGCCCAGGAAGTGATAAGAGAGTGAGTCACTCTTTTGGGATGGAGGGGGTAACAGCTGTCTCTCACTTCAAACCGCCAGTGGTAATCCGCACCAGATGATAACCTTTTTCGAGATTTGTTTCGTTAGTTAGCTTTCACCAGCCGCCGCCGACACCACAATATCCGTTATGTTTTACGTCTGTCCCGTCTGCCTTTCTGCTTGGCTGGGCAGCATCAGGTGGGCCCTGTCCGGGCGGTGGGGTTGGTGGCGGCCCTTGGTGGGCAGTGCCCCCGGTGGCCGTGTGCAGCGCAGCGTGGATCATGGGGGTCACGGGGGCCGCGAGCGTGGAGCGTGGCGGCGCGGCATGGCCGCTAAGCGTGCCGCGACAACACAGCCCGGCGCATTGCATGGCAGCCGTGGGCAGCCGTCGCCGTCGGGGTTACGCCCCCCCCCCTTCCCCTCCCGCCGCGAGTTGTACACACTGGCCGCGGGGCACAGCCAGGCACAGCAGGACCACCACGAGCACACTGCGTGGCGCGCCCCGCCGTGCCTCGCCGGCCCCGGTGACATCGCCGTGGTGGCCGTGCGCCCCACGTGCTGCATCAGATTGGCGGAGGGAGAGGAAGGTTTCGGGTGACGTTTGCCGCATTGTCGCGGCGGTCGCGGCGGTCGCGGCGGTCGCGCTGCTGCCTTGGCTGTCCGAGGGAAGTCCGCGTGCGGGCAGTGCGGGCCGGGGGAAAGCTAGCTGCGCGCTGGCCTGGCCGGCCGCTGGCCGAGGGCAGGGCCTGGCCGATGCGGTGGGAAATGAAGGCGCACGTTTGTCATCTCGCCGACGTCGGCGCAGTTCAGTGCAGTGCAGTGCCGCGCCGGGCCTGCCGGGCCGGGCGAGCGGTTGACGCGGACACGGCGTGCTTTTCGTCCTCCGCGTCGCGATTTCTCTCTCCGCCGCGATGGCGGCGCGGATATGCCCGCCGCCGAGCGACAAAAAGCCGCAACTCGCTCGCCGCGCGCGATGCACGCACTGCACGCACGTGCGCACGCCGGTCTGCATCCCGGAGCAGCCCCGCGCGGGAAAAGGGTTCCGCGGGGGGAGGAAAATGCATGTCAGGCGCGGGGCTCTGTATCTGCACTTTGGAGATTGCCTCTCTGTGGCGACACGGCACGACGACGGTCTTGGAGGGCGTGACGGAGTGACTGTCACCAGGCGGAGTCCCCCGAGTGGGGCCCACTAGACCCACTCTGTCCTGCTGAACACGCGGCGAGGGGCCGGCAGCCAGTCTCCGGGCACTGTCGAGTGGAGTGGTCTCGTTTCGAGTGCCGGCCCGCCTGCCTGTCGGCCACTGTCGGCCGGCTGTCTGCTGTGTCCGTTCCATTTCGTTTGCTAGGGGTCCCTGCCCTTTCCTGCCCGTTCCGCAACGGCTGCCGCGTGTCCTCGGCGTCGACCCCTCGGCGGGGTGGTCGGACCTCCGCGGTGCGCGACCCGCTGGACAGTTTAACTTAGCCTTTGGCCTGCTGGTGTAACCCGGCCGACCCGGCCCCCGGCGCGGCGAGCTCGGCGGCGAGGGCAGCGGGCGGTTCTTCAACCTGCCGCGGTGCCGCGGGGCGGGACAGGTGCTGCACAGTGTGCTGGCCTGTGGCCTGGCCGGCACCTGCAGCCATCTGGCAAGCCTGCCCAGCCTGCCCAGCCTGCACAGCCTGCACCTGGCTGGACGATGGCCTGCAGCGCTGCGAACGCCGCACACTGCACTGCAGACTGATTGCCGTCGCTCTGCGTCTCTCGCACTCATGGGGCGTCCCGTCCCGCACAGGTGTGAGAGTCGGAGCGACGGAAACGACTCTCGGAATCAGTGTGCTGCGGCAAGCCAAGCCAAGCCCTGGGGGCAGCGTGCAGCAGCGTGTGGGGCGGTGACGGCGGGGCCCAAGTACAGTGGTGTGGGACTTCGGGGAGGTGATGATTCGGCCGAAACGCTCGGACGTCGTCCCTGCTGGAGGCACGCTGGAAGTGGGGCAGCAGGCCGGCGGCGTGAGCGAGGCGGCGTGCAGGTGTCAGCCCATTACGCGAGCGCTGTGTCGGTGTGTCGGTTTGGCTGTGGGTCAGCGCGTCGCCCGGTTTGATCCGCCCGGGGCGTGGCTGTGGCTGGACGTCAAACAATGACGCGGCCGTCCGCCGGCCGCCAGTGCGCTGCCTCCGAACTGCGGTCTCTCCCTTTTGCACTCGTGCAGACTGATTCCGAGAGTCGTTTCCGTCGCTCTGTCTCTCTAGCACCTGTGTACGAGGCGCCCCATGAGTGCCACAGAGACAGAGCGACGAAACCGACCCTCGGAAACAGCCTGCTGGGGCATCGCGTAGGGGTGCGAGGGAGACAGAGGGCAACAAGGCAGTGTTCTGAGACCCCTGAGATGCTGGCTGTGGCGGTGCCATCGCCGGGGAGCTTACCCCTGCGGGCCCCAGCGGGCCCCTGCCCAGGGCGAGGCCCAGGGCTTGGCCTAGCAGCATGCTAGCAGGGCTCTGGCGGATCGATTTTATCGGCGGCCCGGTCGTGACTTGGTCGTGTGCGTGCTCGCCGTGCTCGTCACGGGATGGGACGGGACGCCACGGCGGCCTAGTTCGCCCCCTTTGGCGGCGCCTCGTTGACGTGCGTGGCCGTCTTGTAGGAGGGAGGCCGCCCTTTTTTCGGCGCGGGCGCAAGTAGCGCGGCACGGCCTGGACGCGGCCCTTCGCCGGCATTGACGCCACGACGTCACGGTGCCTGTCGTCGCTCCGTCTCCCTCGCACTCGCGAGTTGTTCCGCAGGGGTGCGAGAGAGACGGCCACGAAGCGAAACAACCCTCGGCTCGGCGGAGGATCCTCGGCGTGGTGGTGCTGCTGGCTCGGCTCGGCTCGGCCGGGCGTCGCGCGTTGCGTCACCGAATTTGGGCCAGGAGGCTAAACCGGACCGGGCCTCCTCGCCGTCGCATTGCCTTCCACGCACTATCTGTCGCGGCATCGCCCCGCCCCGCCCCGCCCCGCCCCGCCCCGCCCGGCCCGGCCGGCCGTTCAGGCCCGCGGTTCGCATTATTATTGTGATGGAGCTCCAACCCAATCCCGTTGGCCGAACAACCGCCACGTGAGCTGCAGTGCGTGGCGCGCGCCGTTCGGTTTCTCGGAACAGGATGCCGCCAAAGTCAAGTCCAGTCCAGTGGATGGACTGTTGTTGTTTCGCGCGAGAAATTGGTCGCGACAATGGTAATGGGTGCGGTGTTGTGCGGTGCGCGTGTGGCACACCCCACTTTGGCGCGCCGTGGCGGCCCACGGGCCGAGTCCGCGACACTGCTCCGTCTCTCTCGCACCCCTACGGGCCGCCGCGCCGGGCCCGCGAGTGCGAGAGGGACGGAGCGACGCTGTTGATGGCGGTCGGGCCAGGGCCAGCCAGCCCGATTAGGCGCGTCGCGTGTCCACCTCACGCGGACGCCAGCCGCCAGCCCGCCGCTGTTTGGTTAGGTAAAGTGGAGCCTGCCTGGCCCTGGTCAAGAAGACCGCGCGCTTGTTTTGGTGGGCCGTCCCCGCCGTCCGTCGGCTACACTGCAGTGTTGTTGCACCTGAACGAGGCCGTCGTGCGTGCGGATCAAAGTGGGTCTGTTTGCTTGCTGTGCTGCGACTGCTGCGGCGTCAGCGTGGCGGGTGGGGCGCGCGGCGGCGCGGGGCTTCAGGACGTCGCGCGGCGGGCGTGGACGGCGAGGTGGTGACTCATCTGGTTTGTGTCTCGGCGGGGCGCGGCGCGGCGCGGCGCGGCGGGGCTTTACCGACCGCCGGCCGTGTAGGCAGGCTGTGGCCGGCCAGGCCGTGGCCAGGCCGTGGCCAGGCCCGACACGAGAGGAAAGTGAACAACATCAACACCCTGGCCGTGTCGGACTGTCGGCCCCGTCGGCGCGGCCGTGTGCACACTGCATGCTGGTTATGGCGAGGGCTGCTTGGCTGCGCACGCACGGCGCACGCGATGAGCAGCAGACTGATGCCGAGAGTCGAACGCACTCTTGGCGCGAGAGAGACAGGGCGACGAAAACGACTATCGGAATGAGTGGATGCGGGGCAGATGGAGGTGATATCACCCCCAGATTGGCGGTCTGCTTGATCGTCCCCAGGTAATCGGCGGCCCGGCCGACCGGCCAGTCGCCATCGCGCCTAGAGTGGCGTGGCGATCCGAATCTCAGCCAGTGTGTGTGTGTGGCGTGCTTGGAGCCGCCGGCCAACAGTTTGAGGCGAGGCTTGTTCCAGCTGTCTGACTACGAACCGTGCCCCGCCGTCTCACTCCGTCTCTCTCGCACCCCAGCGGTTCGCGCTT